GTTGTTATGTTGTACAACATTAAAGCACACGTCATAGTTCAGGCTTACAACAAATATAGTTTCTTTGGTCACCCATTAAGCCATACCTTTTTAAGAATATGGTTCGCCGGGTTGACGCGATGTAGATGAGAAGAGTTAGGTGTGGAGCGAGGAGAATGCAACTCTCCTCGAGGAGAGTCACATGAAGCTCAAATCAACCAGCTCGTTAAGATTTATGTGTCATAGGGTTATACCGGTCGATCTCGACTTAGATGACTGTTTCGAGAGAATGATCTGAACGGAAACACCACAAAGAAAGGCCTAAACCCGCCTATAAGGACGGGTTTGGAGAATTCGGTAAACGTACTTGAAATACCACCGAGTAATCTTAAGCGCCAACTAGTTCGTAACCGCCTATACGACCGTCTATGTGCAACGCAAAATTGCATAATTTGCCCCAATGGTAGAGACGGTGACTGCATGAGCTCGGATATAGTTTATCTGATCTCCTGTAAGACGTGCGGAGACGAATACATTGGCGAAACGGGCAGACCCCTCTGTGTCCGCATAAAAGAACACCTAGCCGGCAAACATAGACCAAATACCCCGCTAGGCACGCATAGGACCCAGAGACATGTCGGGGAGGACTTTGAAGTATGTGTCACCATCCTCGCACACGAATCAAGAACGCAAGCGCGCAAAACACAAGGCATTCTGGATTAATTCCAGAAATCCAAAAATGAACCGCAGGGAAGAATACCTCATTATCACGCGTGATATAGGGGTATATAAGACTTATTCTGATGGGAGGAGCACATTATGCTTCCATGTGATTTATGTGCGGTTGGTCTTCACGTGACATAGTGGAAACATAGAAAGCGGTGAGTGCGCAAAGCTGTTTTCAATATGATTGAAATCTTGGTTTGGAGTTTCTTTGTTTGGTTATGGAGGCGTCTGGCCAAGTAGATTGCTGTCAACTTGACCTTTCCAGGCTCTGAGGAAGGCGAAATCCGCTGAAACGTCGGCTTATTCGTGAATAAAGAATAATAACACCTCGTGTTTGCTCAACAAAAATACGAAGAATTACACCACAAAGAGATACGAACTCTTTGACTAACAAAAGCTACAAAGATTTCCCTCGTTCTGTTTTACTCGAAAGTTCCCCGCAACTGAGCAGTTTTGTGAAAAGTGACATATTCTGCTCACGCGTCACTCCTATGAACGTCTTAATAGCGTTTGATAACGAAACCTTTTTGATAAAATAACTAGCACACCGCCATTTCAACCAACTATATGTTCTCTCGACTATGAGTGGACAATGGCTAACTGTGGAAAACCAACAAAACAGTTAATGACTAACTGTGCCATGTTTATCTCCGTTCCGATGGGTGATTGATGATGGCACTGTTCACCTGTATCACCTGTAGTCCCGTTGATCGTCGAGTGACTCGAGGCGCCGGTAAATCTTCCATTTTTCCCTGTCGCGGGCAAGAGTAGCCCAGTGGGTTCTGCTTGCTCTAGGGACTCGTCGAGCATCATATCTTTCTTCAAGGTTCTTTGTGAAGAACTCTGCCTACAGGGTCGGTGGTCTTCCTGCAGTACGTGTGACATCCCGAGGAATCCGGTCGCTAACGGCTCTTGTCCATCGGCTGTCATTCAAACGCATTACGTGTCCGGCCCACCTTATCTTCGACTGTTTGGCGTACAGAACGGCGTCTTTGATTTTTGATCGTTGACGCAGATCGGAGCTTCCGATTCCATCCCTTACTTGTGTGGAACGGGATACTCCTAGTATCGTCCTTCCAACTGCGCCTTCAATAATGCTGAGTGATCTTTCATTTAGGGTAGGAAGCACTGTTCCATCGAAAGGGTGGGCACGGAGTCGGGTGCTCTTTGTTCTCTTCACTACACCCTCGATCCTCTTGAAAACTCCCCACAGCGCTCGTTTCCTTCTGCTCAGCTCTGGAGCTAGGTCATTCATCATATTCATTTCCCGACCTAGATAGATATGACAAGAGCATTCGGAGATATTCGTTCCATTGAGCGTGAATGGGGCATGCGAAACCAATCCGTTTTTCATGAACATCGTTTTTGAGAGATTTAGTCGAAGACCAGTCCTTCCACAGGCTTTATCAAAGTCGTCAAGTATACGTTCCGCTTGGTTAATGTTTGGTGTTATAATGACGATTTCATCAGCAAAGCGAAGATGGTGTGACTGCCAACCATCCATTTTCACTCCCATATTATCCCATTCCAATGTTCGCATGACGTTCTGGAGGATGGCGGTAAATAATTTTGGCGTGATGGTATCGCCTTGCCTAACCCCTCTTTTAACGTCAATGTTAATATCGTTGTAAAATGGTGATAACTCGGTTGTGAAATTTTTGTGCAGCTCACGAAGATGGCACTGTTAGCAGAAAAAACTGGCTAAGAGAAAGGCAGAATGAGGGCCTCAGTAATTGTGGTTTCGAATCTGGCCTGTGGTTCGAGTTTTGCAAACATCTCAGGTTGTATTTCAAACAGTACTCTGTCTTGGGAAAAAATAATAGGTGAATAAAAAGTTAAACACTCTTATTTCCGTTTTATTCAGTGAAACCGTTTTGCTGATTTTGTAGCCATCCCCTACACGAGAGATAACACATAAATGGAGGAGTCAAAGTTCAAAGTACAACTTCATTGCGTTCTTAGGATATTTAAGCTAGACCCTATTAAGGCAAACGCCTTCCAATTTTCATGAGTTTGGACTTCAGACCAAGGAAGAAAAGTGATAAGACCAGTCACTAATATTGCTTTCGTTTTTGGGTTGGTTGGTGAATAAGGCAAACAGAGGTACTAAAATACAAGTCATAGATAAGCTTCATTGATTTGGTTAGCAAAGAATTTCACCTAGTCTTGTTATTAAAAATGCTCTGACGACCTAGGTGGAAGCTTAAGTAGCCTTGGAAGAATCTACAGACAATGTCGGGCCTGTATTCTTATAAATCTCATTCAAATGCCTTTTCACATAGCTTTTGATAAATCAATTTTCTATGCGATTCTAACATCTTTATCTAGTGTAGTGTCATCTCTTGGATGCTCAAGGGAAAGCGATCCTCTCTAGTCATCTCACTCTCGGTTTTTTTCAGTACTTTCGGTGGAATTGAATATTATTCTTTTAATACCCCGCACTCATCGTCGACCTTAAGCCCTCTTGAAATTTAATCCTTGCACGAGGGAGGTGAATTTCGCGTCGGAACGCGCATCGAAATCAAGATGTACGGTCCGATGCGTACATTAGGGTAGATGTTAAAAACAATGCGCATGGTCATGAAAGGACTAACCCTACCGTCAGGTTGTCAGGGTAATGGCTCTTTAGCGCGCTTTGCTTTTCTTTCAATTCAGTATGCTATATGATCCATTTGGGCGCATGTGACGCAGTGATCGCAGGCGCCTTGCAATACACACATGGGATCGATCCCGTCACCTCCGGCCCACTAAGCCTTCCATCCCTCCAGGGTCGACAAATTGGTACCAGACTTGTTTGGGAGGATAGCAGCACTGGCTGGATACATCGGTAGGCTACCGTGAGTCATTGTAAAGGTCAAATATGCATTCAATCACCTTCAACGATGCCTAATGAAGTCGAATACATGGCGCATACCTCAGGGATTAATCAACATCGAAAGCTTTATCCTTTTTTATTTAATTTATTCACTACTACCTAACGAAAAAGAAGACTAGATTACTGGTTCCTCTGCTCTCCTATTGCTCAACAATAATGGGTAATCGATGTCGGCCAAAATGGTGTCATTTCAAGCAGAACCTCATTTCCACTCTATCATCGATCTCTCTTGTTTTTCGTCTTCCAGTCCTTTATTTCTTCTAAAAATCACATTTCTTGCTCACAAATTTGTTTTGTCTAAATCTCAGTCCAATTTAATCCGAAAAAGGCAGAACGATGGTTTAAGTGGCGCCGTGCGTAACACCTAAGCCTTCGGAAAGGGTAATCGCGGTTCGATCTGGCCTGAGGTGCAGGTTTCACAGATACCTCAGCATCATTGTAGTTGATTTCACATAATAGCTTTCAGTGAAAAAATAATGGTCAGTAGATCTATTTTATGTTATGTACGATCGAATTTTTTTCAACATGACGTTCTATCCACTTACTCTTTGGTCTTTGTGCATTTGCAGATATTACGACGAAGTTACGGCCGAAACTAAATTTAAACGATTATGGGACTATTTGATGTCAAATACTTGTCGGATGCACAACTGAAAGGATTCGATTCTTATAAGGTTAGTTCTTCCCTGATCTTTAATTGTTTCTGATGGGTAGTCAGGCATAATTCCTGCCTACTTCATTATTAGGTTTGTATCATTTTTGTTTTACACATCCAACAAAAGGATGCCTTTGGCCTAGTGGTCGGAGGCGCACTGCAATACCCAAGCCTTCCATCCCTCCGGGGTTAGCGAACTGGTACCAGAGTTGTCTAAGAGGGTAGCAGCACTGGTTCGATACATTGGCAGGCCACCGCGAGTCATTGTAAGATGCTTAATGAAGTCGATTGCATGGCGCATCCCTAAGGGATTGATCAAAGCGGAGGGCTTTATCCTTTTTTATCCCATCCAACGTCACGTTTTGTTTGGGTCTCAGCTCTTTCTACATCGTATTCGTTCTCTTGGACCGTCCTCCGAAGATAAACGGATCTTCCATGTGGTTCAATTGCTGCTCATGGATTTTTGTTCTTCTGGATGTCCTGGAATGTTGCTCGAGTCGATTCTTCTAAGAATCATTGGGATCGCCGAGCTAAGCGTTCCCAGTTCCAGATCACTGCTGAGCGCCGTTCTATGTGGATTGGAGAGAGCGAGTAGATCCCAGACAAGTTTGATTCGAGTTTCCCGTTTCCCTTTCTTGAGGAATGTGGCTCGGTTGATCCGATGCTTGGTCGAGCCAGCACCTTGCATTTATTGGGCGACATTGCCACCCACTGCGCTACCCACGTCCATAACACGTGACCACGAATTACCTCATCACATTTCGTTTGGAATTTTTTGCAAGCAGGACTGAACCGTTTAACTATTTGACCTATCGAACTGTTTTTGTTCAGTACTCATGCGTGGATACCAGTCCTCTTTCAATCTATATATCTCATCCGTTTTGGAATTGGCTGGTCACAGTGAGTTTTCTGCTCTTCTTCAGAATTTATTTCTTTATTAAATAGACTTGTATTTGTTATTAGAGGCACTTACCTTATCACCATATCGTTTATTGTTTACCTTTTTACAGTTTCGTCTGAAGAATCTTAGTGAATACATTTGTTGTAACGCTGCTTTAAAGATGTACGACTTTAGAGAAAACTTCTAAAGTAATAGTTGCTCTAGTGGTACCCACGTACGTGGACTCCTAACGTTCTCACACTTGTCGGATGGTCGTTTGTGATGGGCTGTTTCCTGCTCGAATCAGTTCTCGACTATAATCTCACATCAAACAGTGTCGACTCCAATCACCCTATTCCTGATTGGTAAGGATCGAAAGTCTCTTTGTCTCTCTTTTTCTGTCTTTCTCTCTCTCCCCCATCTGTCTGTCTTCGAGTTCTCGTGTAGGAATTCATAAGTGATATTTTTCGAAACTGTCTCTTCATATTTTCACATTCAAACCCATGAGTACTGGCTATGAACAAAAGATAGCTCGAAAGAGTAAAGTTCTAACCTGAGTGTAGCTTAAAAACGATCGTGGTTCCATTTGTCACTGTGTGGAGAATACAAGAAGTTTTCGGTCGATCTTATAGTATGGAGAGATTACAAGAAGCCAAATTTGAATGACTATATTCATCTCTACGTAGTCCAACTTTACCCTGTTGCCAAAAATCGGTTTCTCTTGTGATTTGTCAAGGGATTTTTGTGATGTATTTATAGTCCTAGTTCATAAAAACTCTTCAAACAATGTTCCTATAGGATAGGTTTCGATCTCCACGTCTCAGCTTTCAGTCCTAGCGTAATTCATTCACTTCAAGATTTCCAGGTTTTGGTTGGCAGCTGCAATTTGTACATTTATTGGTCACACATTAGATGGAACAGATGGAAAGCAGGCAAGACGAATTGGAGCCAGTGGACCAACGGGGGAATTATGTATATCAATAAGTCTCTCTTTTTGGATACAGACTTATCTTATTGCCATACAGAGAGTTATTTTCAGTTGATCATGGTCTTGATTCATGGTCCACTGTTCCTTTCACTATTACGATTTTCTCAGTGTTTGGAAGTGGAGAATTCAGGTGGTTTTTTTTTCGTAGAGTTTAGTTTCAGACATCCTCTGTGCATTTAGAACTTTTGTACTTATTTAGCGTTGTTTAACGTTACTTGTAACTTTTAACGTTAAGCAATTTAAATTGTCAGTTGAAATGAGAATGAAAAATAAAGTGTATCCGATAGTTCATTCTTCTTGTTTTCAGTCTTTCGCCTGTTCGCTTACTTCTTGTCTTAATTAGCGTCCAAATTGTTTTCATTGCTACACACTGGGAGAAGTACAATACAGGAGTCCTATTTCTTTCATGGGGTTATGATGCTAGCCAATACGTAAGTCCTTCTTATAGCCTGATATGACTTAGCGTCTTAATTAGTACGTTTTAATGAGATTCTTTTTAGTCACTAATGTTTATCTACTTATTCACCTATGTTGTTGGTTACAAATGGTATCAGTTCTACGTTTTTGATGGAATTACGTTTGCTGTTCTTTTTGAAGGCTGCTTCTATAGTGAATATGTTTTCTTCCTTTCAAGTTGAACTCTGTCAATCAATGTTCACTTGGTCTTACTGTAGTTCATCTTTATATTATTTCAGAGCGCAAATGATAGTCTTTTTAGTATGCTGTCTTGGATCTGTCGCCATGTCGGTGTACAATATTTGGCATTCCTATGCTATTGAGAAGACATTCAAGCAGGTACTTTCTAACCAAACGCTGTGTATCAGCATTACTCTAAGCAGTTTCCTTACAGATTAGGTTGTTTAAAGCCGGATGACTGTTCATTGAATTGCAGCCATCTCTTTGTGAAGCTATTCGCCCGTTAATTCCATGCGTGATCTTGTTCATTGTCTCGTTATTGTGGGCCCGTTTGTCACCCACGGACATCGCCGGAACGGATCCACGATTGTTCTTTTTTTCGATGGGCACAGTATTCAGTAATATTGCTGTAAGATTGTTTTTAGTCGATATTATATTTGTTTTGTTTTGTTAGCCACATAGATTTGGTTTTTTCTCTTGCTTCAGTGTCGCTTGGTGATCGCACAGATGTCAAATGAACGCTGCGAAGTAACAAACGGACTATTATTGCTCTACACAGTGGTTGCAGGTACGTATCTCAATTTGTATTCGATCTTACTGTTGTCGAAATGTACAACCTACTAAGTAACTAATGCAAGTCTTGTAACCAGTGAATTTGAATGAGTTATTGTAACACACTAAGTGGCACGTGTAGCGCACTGGTTGTGGCCGCTGTGAAACACACTTGGAAATGATCCCCACGCCGAAGCTCACCAAACCTTCCACCCTTCCAGGCAAATTGGTAGCAGATTTGTTTAGGAGGATAGCAGCACTTACCCGACTCATCGGTAACCACCGCAAGCCATTTTGTAGGCCAAATATGCTTTCAATCACCCCATGCGGTGCTTGAAGAAATCGAATGATTGGCGCATCCTTCAGGGATAGATCAACGCTGAGAGCTTTATCGTTCATTTCAACACACTAAGCGTCATGGTACACAGTTTCTATCTAGATGAGATAGTTTGTGGATAAATCGTGATATGATATTTGAATACCTCATTTATACGAGTGTGTACTTTTCATTTACAAATTTGTTTAGGTGTTTCATTATTCACACCGGTAATTGAACTGAAGCTTCTTCAATTATCAACAGTGATTATAGTGCTTCTTCATATTCATTATGGTATTTGTGTGGTGGGTTAAATACTGTCAATGTTAAGCAATTTTATCTCCCTAAAAATTATCTCTTTTTAAGGAAGCTCGTTGTTTTTAATTCCTTGGAGCATTGCTTAAGAGTTTTACTGTTAGCATATTGAAATTGAATGCTATTTTTTATTGAAATCAGTAATGAGTTTAGGTACGACAGCTTTGTGACTACTTCAAAATCCACGCCTTTGATGTTTCGTATTTGCGGAAGCGACTATAATTGAAATGATAGTGGTTTTTCTGTTAGGTTTTGTTTCTATGTTTTACCACTCATTCGTTTATTTTATTTATGTGATTTAGCACTTTCTTAGGTATTCTACATGACATGCACTATTTAACTCCGAAATAAGGTATTGCTGTTTTATTATTTTTTAATCTAAAGTAGTTTTTGCGTAGGTATTATGTTTGGATATTCGCTATTGACCCTTACAAGTAGCTATTATTAATGCTCACTGATCTTCTTTAGTATTTCAATTCCCATTTTGAGTTTCGCAATACTCACTCACTTTTTGTGCTTAAGCTGAATGCAACCAGTATTATATGTCTTTCACTAGATCCTATTACTTCTTAGGAGATCAATTCCAAACGACTTTAATAATAGTGGTCGGTTTTAGAGTTTCCACGTAATGACGACGTTATGGCTTGGTCTGAAATTTCACTCGTAGTGCTTCTCTTAACTGTTTTTTGCTTAACAAATCAGCTACATTGTCACATAAAACTATGCATGCTCGAGTAAGATATACCGAGCAGCATCACCGAGATAAAGTCGGGCAAACGCCACTTAATTATGCAAAATTCTGTGCAGTGATATCCAAAACTTTTGGATAAAGTTTTTAGATGTCGTAAGTGAAACATTACTGGCAGGTTACTCCCAATAAGGAATTCTATTCGAAAGTTGGCAGGCTTTGATTCACGGGGCGCCAACATTCAGTAGTGAAGACCTTGAAATGACCTGCTACGGTAGCTGTTGTGTGGAAACTCACGGTTCGTTAACAATTTTCTCATTAATATATGAGAGATGAGAAAAGGCGACAGCTGATCACGATGTTATGGATGGCCACATCCATGGATGAAGTGTTTGAACGCAGATGGAATGTGAACATGGACCCTTTGACTACGTAGTTGTCGTTGGCGACGCACTGCAAGGAAAGAGGCGTTTGTAGTGGATTTTGTTTTTGAACATTACTGGGTAGTGCGTTATCATCAATCGTATGAATGGCGACACAACAAGAGCAACAAGTAGTCTGGTCAAATCAATGAACTTTTGTTAACCTGCAGTTTGGGGATATTGACTCTGAATGTGTCGTTACTTCTCTTCGTTCTTCGTTCATTTATTGTTATTATTGTTTACATAATTAGACTGCAAATTTTCTGTGGTTACAGCAACGTTCTTATTCTGTTCGTTGTCTCACATCCGCCACCCACAAAAGTCTCCAGATCTACATGCGGATGCGGCCGTCCGGACTTTGTTTATTCTTGCTCGAATCCTAGGATAGCCGTGCCATAGTATTCTCAAGTCTTCACCACGAGCAGTCGTCGTGCTATTTAGATCGGAAGAAGTTCCTTCCAGACGATTCTCGGACTAATTTATTGCTTCGCATGATTGAACTAGCGAAAATGCGTGTTATATTTAACGGCATTTCTAACCACTCTACTTCCTGAATTCTTCGTATTTATAATTTTATTTTCCACATAAGGTCAGATTCCGTCGATTATCTGGTTATCTTCGACCATGTGTGTCGTTTGTAAGAGTCCTATCATAGCTATTGGCCGCCTTGATTGTTTATATTGCCAGACGTTATCTGCGTTCGCTAAGGGAATGCAACAGTGTTCAGATATAAACACAAAGTCTTTCTCGTCTCTTGTACTTTTTTCGGGATACATTCATATCTGCGGGATAAATTACTACATATAGGAAACTGTGGAAAGTGAAATTAACTCTATAAACTCTACACATGTTTCTCTTTGAAAACCGTTCAAAGAGAAATGTAGGGGAACACGAGACGGGAGTGTTCGAAAAGGACAAATCTTCTAATTTAGTCAGTATTTTGGGTTACAAATCCACCAATATTTTAATACTGATCACTATCGTGTGCCTTATTACTCTGGAGATGCTTAACTGGGCAATTCAGGAGTTCAATCTCGTCGAATAATCGTTCAAATTTATCCCAATAATTGCAAAGTGTGGTAACGCTGATAGCGCTTCTACTTTTTAGTAGATTAAAATTTTCCGCATGAAGGTCACCTTCAATGACGTTTGAGTGACCTTATCTTCTTAAACTGGGTATGTGCAGCAAAATGCTTGATCTGCACTTCAATACTCACCTGGTTTTTGGTTCGTTACTGAACGTTCGGCTAATCAAGCTTACTACCACTTTATAGTCAACGAATTGATACCGCATTTGTTTGGGAGACTAAAAGATGCTTACTTGATATATGGGTAGGCACTCACCTCCATGGGGCTACGAGTGGAGTCGAATGCATGGCGCTTTGGCCAAGGAGTGATTAACGCCGAACGTTTTATCCATTATCCCTTAACTGAATACGTGGAAATTCCAGTATTCACGTTTGTTTCGTCGTCTTACGACGTCTGTCATTCATGGAGGCCGTCTGATTCTTGTTTATTTTCGACAACGATTTGACGATCTCACGTCTTTTGTTCATAGTGACGTGTTAAATGCTAGTTCAACATCCACTCATCAACACCCCTTTTGAATCATAAGGAAGTTTCTTGTGTTGCGATCATAATCCTTGTAGAACGGCAGCGATTCTTGAAATTAGTCCACCGGCTGTTCTAGGGCTATCTAAGAAACCCGACTCAATTCTAATTAGGTTTTTTAGTCTTTAAATATCACAGGGTTTATCGACAGTAGTTCATAGCGTTGATGATTTGTTTAGTCGTCCAAGAAACTACCTTCCTACGTTTAATGCTGCCCGCTCTCATTATAGCGGATGTTGAAGCTTACTCGTAAAGCGCCATCGTAAAGTTCCGTCGTTGCATACGGTATGGTCACGCAAACCAATTCAACCAGATGCTAACCCAGTGTTGATATCCAATGTTTGCTCCTGTCGAAATGAGTGTCTTCTGTCATTATCTGTCGCGTCAATGTGGTTGTTTTGTAGTTGTCTTCTTCAAACCACTGAGTTAGTTATTGGTAGTACATCTTTCCAAATAAAACATTTTTAAAGTTATCTATTGTTTTAACTTATTATTTACTGCCTACTCTTTTTAATGGCAGGGTATGTTTCGAAATATTATCTTTAATATCTATTTATTATCTTTGAACATATATCCAAAATGGAAAGCGTTGATGACACAGTAGTGGTGATACTGACCAACACACGTGATGTGACTTGACCCACTCCTGTACCAATAATCAAGCCCTGAGTCCACCCGAGGCTGGGAACGTAGTACCAGACTTGTCCAGGAAGCTCTTTTCGATTCAAAGCACTTCGGAACACCCTTGTACGACTATTCCAGAGTCGATTTTTAGATGGAGTGAATCGATACGATCAGTATTCATTTACGTGCATGACGAAAATTAGAGAAGTTGAACTCAGACTGGAGCCTGAAGATCTTCGTGAATGATGAATGCGAGGAAAAGAATCGAATGTAACAGTGATTGAGATCTGCACAATACAGGTGGAAAGAGGTCATAAAATAAAGATAAAACAAATAAAGAAGGCGATGCAAATGTCTATTATGTGAACAGGTACAAAGTTTTGAGACCATGAGCAACATGGAAGGAGTGCGTAGCGTAGCGTTTAGTGGCACCCTGCAATGGGACACAAGGTCGTCGGCTATATCTCGCGCTCCGAGTAAATCAGGATTTCTACGGTTGAAAGGTCAAGAATCCCTTCAGTTAAAGATGAATGAAAAGCAATGATGAAAAGTATCATGCAATACGTAAAAGTTTACTTCTTGATCCCACTTCGCGCTTTGCAAGTTTACGATTAGCATAGCCTAATGAACAACAAACCCACTTCTTTTAAGACCTCCAGAAACTGTCCATACCACTTGTTTATTCGTCAGTTCTAAGATAAGATATCCAGACCATATGAGAACATCTAAAGTGGGATTTTACTGAATCGGTCGCGACTAGCACTTACACTTCAGCCTTAAGGTGAAATTTTTTCAAGATAAAAACGAAATGCAAACTTGCCCAGTATCATGAATTGCGTGGTATGGTCCACATTGGTCACTCATACCAAAGTGGTCAGATCGGACCCGATATTCGTGTATGGTCGTTGTACACCCCAGCTAACCAAGACCCACATTGATGAAGATCACACGGGTACAAGTCCGTTTCCCACTTATCTGTTATGATACTGACTTGGAAGAATTTTTTCGTTGGACTTCCAAAGAACCTGTAAGAACTCTTCAGACTAAATGTCTTCCAATATGTCAGCGATTTTTGACATAAGATTACTCCTAGGTG